AGCCGCAGAACCTCCTTTTCCATCTATAACACAGACATACGATTTGACGCTTATATATTACTCAACACACAACACTGCAACCTTTATTAATTTAGACGCATTTCTTTGTCAACATTCGCCTGCATTGTTCCGACGTATATTTGCACCAGATAATTACAGACCATGCGAAACAATTATCCAATATATGTTTGCTGTTTAACGTAGCACGCAAGAATATTCCAGTTATGTGACTACGGTAGAAGCACTCCTTGCATCGTTGCAAGAGGTGGATTAAGGCGTTGTTCATTGCGAGTTGATCAGTATATCAGAATAAAGTATTTGTTGAAGTAGGTATAATTATTCTCAAAATAGTCTTTCATTAAACAATATTATTTAGCTGAACGTGGACGTTGATGCTGGGCACAGCAAGTAAAAACGTTATTGTTTAAATAGCGTTGGATATGTAAGGGTAAATGTTGACAGTGTTAAACCTTTATAAAATATGTGTAGGGAAATGTGCATGGCAATTTGCAGTCAGATGTGGTGCGACCAAATCTTACAGTTTTCTAAATTTAAACATGTAATTTTTTTGTTTGTTTATTTGTTGTTTAACGCCGCACTGAGCAATATTCCAGCTATATGACTGCGGTCTGCAAATAATCGATTCTGGAGCGGAAAATCAAGTGATTGACATTATAAGCATCGATCTACTCGATTGGGCAACTATGTCACGCTATCAACCAAGTCAGCGAGCGTGACCACCCGATTTCGTTTGTCGCCTCTTACAATCAGTATATTCTTCTCCGGAATCATCTGGGTGCGATTCAGTAGGGGGAACTTGAGGACGCATAAGTTAACTTGGTTTGACCAATGTTAACACATGTTAACTGACCACACTTCGGTTGACCATAGTTGCCCATTCCTACTGAACCCCTGAAGTGGTGTTTGTTTGCTTGTTTGTAGTCTAACGCTGCAGCTTTATGACGGCGGTCTGTAAAAATCAAATCTGGACCAGACAATCTGGTGACTGACATCATGAGCATGAATCTACACAATTGGGATACGATTACATGCATCAAGCAAGTCACGGAATCTGACCACCCGATCCCGTTAGTCGACTCTTACAAGCATGAGTTGCTGAAGACCGATTCTAACCCGGATCTTCACGGGAATGTGGAGCGAAATACTCTGGTTAGGAGCCTCAAAGTGACGTCATCACGTTAAGGTAATTAGTTTTCACTGATGATTTATTGAGCACAATATAATTAATCAGGTTTCTATATTACATAAGTATGACATGCGAAATTTATAATTTTCAATTTTGGCATAAATACTTCAGAATCAATAATACAACTTCATGTTGATTGTGCGTCTCTACTTGGTGTTCTGGGCGTTATTTTTAAACATACTGTCTCGTTTAACTTGTATATAGACGCGGGCAGCATTGTCTCGCAATAAAACACCTGTTAGCCACTCACAGTTGTGTTATAGCAATGACTGACAATAGTTATTAATTCAGTTAGACCATTGAAATGTGTTTTAATCAAACCCGATTTTTTTTTTCTCATATATTTGTTAATTTTTAAAGACACAATCTTCAAAGTTGTGCAAGCTTTACTATGAGGACATGTCTTATCCATATTCCGCATTACAAAAAAAATTACAAAATAATTTTCTGTTCTGTCGACTCGAACACCATGTTTTCTCAATGCGAATGAAATGCTGTTAAGTTTTACTGAACGGAGTTATGCCCCTTTGCACGCGCAATCACAAACAGCGTAGAGACAAACTTGATTACTGGTACAGACATTTTAACAGGCAGACGTGGAATATATCGAGTTTAGAGCATGAGAAACGCAGGCTGTTTCTGTGTGTGATCTACCATACAGACCATCGAGAAATGCCGTGTTATTACATACTGAGATCATTAACGGAGACACGAAAAAAACGAGGGGGGATTTCCTTGTGTGACATATTTTATCGTTATTGTCATAATCTTGGCACATAAAGGTGAATTTATGAGGGATTTTTTCAAAGCCAATCCCATTACTGATTGGTCCTATTGCGTCGGACAAGACTAGAAAATGAAACAAAATCGAGCATCTTGGATCTTTTATAATACAAATAAATAATCAAACTTCAAAAACAACATAAAATTGAAATATATTTAACCACAATTGTAACACAATTATGCAAAGAACACACAGAAGAATTCAGATGACAACTATAGCTCCCAACACAAATAACTTCCCAAATGTTCAATATGCAAATTTCATGTACCGAGCACGTGGAAAATAATCCATGATCAACATCCTCAACGTTGCCATTACGAGATTCAATCAAAAGCAACACCCCTCGCTCAACTGCGTCAGCTTGGATCATGTGACTCAAGTCTGCCAAGAGAAGAGGGCAGATTACATCTGACTAAAGAAGCAGCTGATGCTTACATAGCATCTGCTGTGCCGAATGATCAGATACAAACTTTCATGATGGTTTTAGGATAATGATCAATCTCATTAAAATCAGATCTTAGTTCTTGCTGCTGTTAAACAAATATCTGAGGACATCCCATCACGGGTCAGTCAGACCGACCTTTCGCAAACTCTGACAGACCAATGGAATTACTGATAAGAAGACGACATTAGCCAATCAGAAGGCAGCTTTCTAATGCTTTACGGCACTAATTTCAAATTGGCGACTACGCTTCGAAACATATTTTGACAAATTCTCACTTAAAAATTTGAAACCTGAACAAAAGAACATTCTAGAATGGCTAATATATGGTCTAGATTGTATAGATTCAATCGTTAAGCCCGTAACTATCATTCGGAATACCCCGTTTTAACGTTTTCGAGGCTGCATGATTAGAAATCACATTCTGACTGTCACTTTCATGATCTGGTAAGCGACACTTTGATTGGTCGGATGAAAGGTCGTTCTGACGTGACCCCTAATGGGATGTCCTCAGATCTTTGTTTAGCGGTAGCGAGAACTAAGATCTGATTTTAATGAGATTGGGATAATGATTTAAGAATCTGTGGTATAAAGGGAGACACATTCCAGATTGTATTTGCAATCAAGTTGTCCAAGGGATAATGAGATGACAAGTAGCATCACATTCGTGCGTGCTCTCACCTCGCCGCCAGGTGGCACTCAAGGTTAAATCATTGCTGTTTTCTTACGGATTTGCAGAGGTATGGCTTCAACAGGGTGTTGGTAGATCTGACTTATTCCTACATCAGTTTAGGCAAAGGAGCGAGACATAGAAAATCAAGTGTTGCATAATAATTGTGAATCTTGTTCTAAGCTTGAATTGTTCTCTGCAGTAAATGATAAATTTTCATATAATAACTGGATTCGATTAATTGATGTAACATTATTTCGAATTAATATCTTGAATTTTCTTGGATCCAATCATCGTCTTATGGTTGAAACAGGCAGATACCATAATATACCAAGACATGAACGTTTCTGTCCCCTCTGTGTTGTAAGTGCTATTGAAGATGAGTTCCACTTTTGTATGGTGTGTCCGTTCTATCTTGATCTGCGGTCCAATCTCATACCCAATTATTATCACACGTTTCCAAGTCGTGAGAAAATGTCCTTATTATTCAGCTCGACTAATCAAAGTATTTGCAGCAATTTAGCAAAATATGTATTTCTTGCTGGTAAGAAACGTAATTCCATTTTCAAGGGAATACCTGTGTCATATAATTAACGCCAATATTAACAGTTTGAATACTGCATTGTAAATCTTATAATTCAGCGCTCTGTCATATTTGTATGCCATCATACTCTGCACATGTATAATGGGCCGGTGGCCTCATTACCTGAATAAAAGCATCATTAGTGTCACATTTGTTTTGTTTTAGTTGTCACTACATCTGTGAACAGATGTGTAGATTATTTGAATAGAGCGAACACACATTTGAGAGTCTGTATTATAGAGGGAAATCACATTTGAGAGTACCTGTATATAGAGAGAAGACACATTTGAGAGTCTGTATTATTGAGGGAATACACATTTAAGAGTGCCTGTATTACAGAGGGAACACACACTTGAGAGTCTATACAGGCAAGTCACATTTTAAAGTCTGTATTGAAGAGTGAACACACATTTGAGAGTGCCTGTTTTATAGAGGGGAGATGTATTATTGAGGAAATACACATTTGAGAGTGCCTGTATTATAGAGGGAAGACACATTTGAGAGTCTGCATTACAAAGGGAAGTCATATTTGACAGTCTGTATAATAGAGGGAATACACATTTGAGAGAGCCTGTATTATAGAGGGAAGACATATTTAAGAGTGTATTATTGAGAGAAGACACATTTGAGAGTGCCTGCCTGTATTATAAAGGAAACACATTTGAGAGTGCCTGTATCAAAGAGGGAAGACACATTTGAGAGTGCCTGTATTATAGAGGGAAGACATATTTGAGTCTGTTTTATAGAGGGGACACATTTGAGAGTGCCTGTATTATAAAGGAAACACATTTGAGAGTGCCTGTATCAAAGAGGGAAGACACATTTGAGAGTGCCTGTATCAAAGAGGGAAGACATATTTGAGAGTCAGTATTATTGAGAGAAGACACATTTGAGAGTGTATTTGAGGGTGAAGACACAATTGAGGGTCTGTATTATAGAGGGAACACATTTGATGGGGCGGTATTAGAGAGGGAACACACTTTTGAGAGTCTGTATCATAAAGGAAACACATGTAAGGGCCTGTATTATAGAGGGTACATATTTTCATCTGTTTTCCTTCTAAACTACAAACTTGCATTTGGGATCTCTCTAATAAAGATATTTAAATGAGCGTTTCCCCTTTCTTGTCTGCAATTACATATGGAATGGATTTCCATGAGACAATGATCCAAGTGATTCATTTAAAGGATCTGACAACCACATATACATAAGGGAATGAGTCCCACATGATACTTCAAGCAATCCAGTGACTGACATCATGAGCATTCTATCCCTACAAAAAGTCTTGGGAAGAAAAAACAACTGAGAGGTTGGAAATGTTTATCTGGTTTATTGCAAGTCCCTTTTGTACATTTGTTCCATTTCTGAAGACAGCAGAATGCTATTGCATCATCAACCAGACCGAAACACAAGTCCAAAACATCAATGGCATCCCTGACAACAGATGATGAGGTTTTCCTACCAAATAGACTTGATGTGTTCATTATTGAGTAAAGTCGCACAATGTTGAAACAATGTTGAATGTTGTAATTTTGGTGTATATCGCTGAGTATAAGGCGAGTTTTTTGTACCTAGAATTAAGGGGCTTTTCAATGTTTTTTTCTCAAACACGCAGTCCTCTATAGGCTCCCAGACATTACTGTCATCACGTAACACCGGAAATACCATGTCACCAATATTTGGTAGATATACGGTATTTTCTTTGCATGTTGGTAAAAGGGTCTGCACTGCATCAATTCTCAGTCCTTAGACTGATATGGGGATCTATACAGATCTAGGACATCCGCCAAGGGCGGCCCAATACAGACATGGCAGTTTTATTTGTTTGTTTGTTGCTGAACGCGTCACTCAGCAATATTCCAGCTATATGATGACAGTCTGTAATTGAATCAGGACCAAACATCCAGTGATTGACACCATGAGCATTGATCCACACAATTAGGATATGATGACATGCATCAACCAAGTCGGTGAACCTGACCATAGTCGCCTTTTACGGCAAGCATTGATTGCTGCAGACCTATTCTATCTCGGATCATCACGGGTCCATGGCAGTCTTATTGTCTGTCTATCTCAGTATGGATATACTTGAAACTCACCACCAAGTACAAAGGTTGAGTCAGTGTGTTTAATGTCACAGTCAGTCATCATGGCACCTCAGTACCAGGAACATCAGCCCCTTGGCACAGATCCATGTCAAGGCAATGTCATCCAGCCATGTTGCAGAGTCTGACTACTCTCTGTTTGTCCACTCACAGGACAAGCATGATACACTGGACTGTTCTCCAGACAGTTCCAAGCAGCGGTTGATTGTTTGGCCTTCAAGCCAGCAGCCACATCTGTGGACAGAAATCCCATGGTAATGCATGGGCAGTGGACACTTCAGCTGTTTGGATACCCACTGGAAGTGATCCCGGGCATGTCCAGGCGTCGCAGTGCTGGATGAGTCAGTTTCAGGTGGTCATGTCGTGGTCGACTGTCCAGGCTAGCGAGTTCAAGATGGTTGTGGACGACTGTCACAAGAGAGTTCCAGGTGGTCATGTCATGGTCGACTGTCCAGGCTAGCGAGTTCAAGATGGTTGTGGACGACTGTCACAAGAGTTCCAGGTGGTCATGTCATGGTCGACTGTCCAGGCTAGCGAGTTCAAGATGGTTCTGGACGACTGTGACAAGAGAGTTCCAGGTGGTCATGTCATGGTCGACTGTCCAGGCTAGCGAGTTCAAGATGGTTGTGGACGACTGTCACAAGAGAGTTCCAGGTGGTCATGTCATGGTCGACTGTCCAGGCTAGCGAGTTCAAGATGGTTCTGGACGACTGTGACAAGAGAGTTCCAGGTGGTCATGATCGTGGTCCACTGTCCAGGCTAGAGAGTTCAAGATGGTTCTGGACGACTGTCCAGGTTACAGAGCTCGAGATGGTCATGCAGTGTTTGACCAATCAGAGTAGCTGTCCCTCACATAGCGCACATCGGGTCAGGTCGGCGGCCAGCCAGGTTATATCTGAAACAAGACGTACATAATATGGAGGTTAATCTGATTCCATTTGGTATTTTTGTATGTGTGTTTGCTTAACGCCACAAAACGCGGCTACATGATGGCAGCCTGTAAATAATCATGTCTGGACCAGATAATCCAGTGATTGATATTGTGAGCAAGGATCCATGCCTTCAGGGTACAATGAACCGCAATCAACAGTCACCGTGCCTGACCAACCAATCCATTAAGTCGCCTTATATGACCAGCATGGGGAGACATTTTAATTGTGTATTGTCTCTTAGATGACTGGCCCATCCACATTGCAGCTCTTGACATCAACTATCACACTATTGAACTTGAGGATATCCTGGTACCTTTCAGTTGCTCCAGGTGCAAGGAGAGGGCGCCACAGGTCTGGCACTTCCTGTACGGGATCTGGTCACACGGCAGCAATGTCAAACAACACGCACCTGGAGATACAAGAAACACACATCAACTAAGACCAGGACATCACAAGTTTTCCATTCTAAGGAGTGAGTGAGTGAGTTGGGTTTAACACCGCTTTTAACTGTATTCTAGTTATATCTTGGCGTGTCAGCTTAATGTGGGAGGAAAGCCTGAAGTGATGCAGGTCTCAGACGTTTACCACTTCGGTGAAACCCATGAGCACAAGTATGGTGCTGACAAACCTAGAAACATGATTGGGGCGAACCGGAATTCGAACCCACAATCAAAGGATTCTTGCATACCCAAGGGATGCAACTCTGCACAGCGAATCGCAGTGCTTTAGATGACTGGGCCACCTGTGTCCCCTCATTTAGTAGGAGATGTTGATTAATTTATGTATACTACTCCAAAGTAAAGGTCCGTCCGACTCTTTCACATCATTAGAGTTAATGTGTCACGGCAGGACAGACAGGCCTTTACTTCTTGTGAGTAGTATATATAATTAACCTTTTGGCTAAAGTTTTGGGTTTGTCTAACTGCACTGATATATAAATAGAATGACAATATTAAGAAAAAAAAATAAATTGTGATGACATATGTGATTGTTTTGATAATATAATAACAACTGTCAAGATAATCAATATCAAACAATAGTGAAAACCAACACTTCAAAGATTATATTTGAATTTGGCAGTGTAGTGTTTTTTAAAAACCTGGCAAAGAAGAACCAAAAAGACCTTAAAGATTGTCTGTGCTATTTGTATTCAAATATCAAAATTAACCTGGACCTTCTTTTTATTAGAGTTAGGAATTATAACCTGTCTTTGCAGTTTCACAACCTTCATTCCACATAAAAGAATTCTATAGTCCTCAGTTTCCTTTGATCCTGACAAAAGAAGCTACTGGAGAGTCACTTTATCAGTTTGCTGATGTCTGTGAACAGCTGATTGAAAAGGCTCAGAAAACTATGGATGATATTAAGCATGGTAACCATTCTCTATCTGTTTCATTCCAGTAGTTTAACAAAAAATATAGAGCCATTAGGCTCTGTAGCTCACCTTGATAATAAACAAATAATGACAACCACGGCATACAATCACTTGACCTTCAGTCAGGTGAGCTAACAATGAGTGTGCTATGGAACTATGAAAACTAAATGCTTACCAAATGTATGCCCGTTGACACATTTACAGCTGGAGGGATCCATCTGAAGACCTGCTGATGTTAAGGTTAATTAGCGATTGCTCAAACCTGGGAGCCTATAGTGAGTGAATGAGTGAGTTGGATTTAACGCCGCTTTTTTAACAGTATTCCAGTCATATTGCGGCGTGTCAGCTTAATGTGGGAGGAAAGCCCGAAGTGATGCAGGTCTCAGACGTTTACCACTTCGGTGAAACCCACGAGCACGGGTATGGTGCTGACAAACCTAGAAACATAATCGGGGCAAACCGTGATTCGAACCCACAATCATAGGTTTCTGGCGTGTCCAAGGGACGCAACTCTGCACAGCGAATCGTGGCGCCTTAGACGACTGGGCCACCCGTGCCCCCGGGAGCCTATAGAAGACTAGCTGACTACTTCCTGAAACAAATTATCTTTACAACAAAGTGAAGTAGCTGTATGACTATCAGTTGCTTCCTACAAAGACAACCAACATGGTGTGCTCGGGACTAGTCTCAACCGTCCCCAAGAAGAGATAAGCATTGGGTGTTGGAATCTAGTCTGCCCAGACAGAATGGTTCTACAGGGAAGGGGTGCTGGGGATCTAGTCTGCCCAGACAGAATGGTTCTACAGGGAAGGCGTGCTGGGGATCTAGTCTGCCCAGACAGAATGGTTCTACAAGGAGAGGATGCTGGGGATCTAGTCTGCCCAGACAGAATGGTTCTACAAGGATAGGGTGCTGGGGATCTAGTCTGTCCAGACAGAATGGTTCCACAGGCAAGGGGTGCTGGGGATCTAGTCTGCCCAGACAGGGTGGTTCTACAAGGATTGGGTGCTGGGATCTAGTCTGCCCAGACAGAATGGTTCTACAAGCATGGGATGCTGGAGATCTAGTCTGCCCAGACAGGGTGGTTCTACAAGGATAGGGTGTTGGGAATCTAGTCTGCCCAGACAGAATGGTTCTACAAGGATAGGGTGCCTGGGATCTAGTCTGCCCAGACAGGGTGGTTCTACAAGCAAGGGGTGCTGGGGATCTAGTCAGCCCAGACAGGGTGGTTCTACAAGCATGGGGTGCTGGGGATCTAGTCTGCCCAGACAGGGTGGTTCTACAGGCATGGGATGCTGGGAACCTAGTCTGCCCAGACAGAATGGTTCTACAGGCATGGGGTGCTGGGGATCTAGTCTGCCCAGACAGGGTGGTTCTACAAGCATGGGGTGCTGGGATCTAGTCTGCCCAGACAGAATGGTTCTACAGGCATGGGATGCTGGAGATCTAGTCTGCCCAGACAACGTTGGTTCTACAGGCAAGGGGTGCTGGGGATCTAGTCTGCCCAGACAGAATGGTTCTACAAGGATAGGGTGTTGGAACCTAGTCTGTCCAGACAGGGTGTTCTACAAGGATGGGGTGCTGGGGATCTAGTCTGTCCAGACAGAATGGTTCTACAGGCAAGGGGTGCTGGGGACCTAGTCTGTCCAGACAGAATGGTTCTACAGGCAAGGGGTGCTGGGGATCTAGTCTGCCCAGACAGGGTGGTTCTACAGCCATTGGGTGCTGGGGAATGATTCTTCAGGCAAGGGGTGCTGGGGCTCTAGTCTGCCCAGACAGAATGGTTCTACAGGCATGGGGTGCTGGGGATCTAGTCTGCCCAGACAGAATGGTTCTACAGGCATGGGGTGCTGGGGATCTAGTCTGCCCAGACAGGGTGGTTCTACAAGCATGGGGTGCTGGGATCTAGTCTGCCCCGACAGAATGGTTCTACAAGCATGGGATGCTGGAGATCTAGTCTGCCCAGACAACGTTGGTTCTACAGGCAAGGGGTGCTGGGGATCTAGTCTGCCCAGACAGAATGGTTCTACAAGGATAGGGTGTTGGAACCTAGTCTGTCCAGACAGAATGGTTCTACAGGCAAGGGGTGCTGGGGACCTAGTCTGCCCAGACAGGGTGGTTCTACAGCCATTGGGTGCTGGGGAATGATTCTTCAGGCAAGGGGTGCTGGGGCTCTAGTCTGCCCAGACAACGTTGGTTCTACAGGCAAGGGTTGTTGGGGATCTAGTCTGTCCAGACAGAATCGTTTTTCAGGCAAGGGTTGTTGGGGATCTAGTCTGTCCAGACAGAATGGTTTTTCAGGCAAGGGGTGTTGGGTACCTAGTCTGCAAGGCAACGTTGGTTCTACAGGCAAGGGGTGCTGGGGATCTAGTCTGCCCAGACAACGTTGGTTCTACAAGGATAGGGTGCTGGGATCTAGTCTGCCCAGACAACGTTGGTTCTACAAGGATATTCTCTTCACAGATGGTGCAGGCGGAGGGTGGGAGGTCCATCACGCGGCCCATGACTTTGATGACAACGTCCGACTCAGCGTACTGGTGTAAAGTCTCATTTGAACTTCGCTCCAACCACTGGCACATGTGGGTCACGATTTTCTGCTCTGAAGTTTTATAATATCATTTCAGAAAGTAAAGAATGTCCTAAAACTCGCACTGTAAATATCATCAAGTATCTCTTCAAAATATACCTCGCTGTATGACATGTCTCAGTCTGCCATGACACTGCAGTACCCTTTGTTTGTTTGTTTGTACCCTACACAGCACTCAACTATACTACTCTACATATGACAGGGATATCTGTCATATGTCGGTTGGTTGTTTGTTTGTTGTTTAACGCCGCACTCAGCTATTTCAGCTATATGACGGCGGTCAATAAAAAATCAAGTCTGGACCAGACAATCCAGTGATTGATATCATGAGCATCGATCCATGCAATTGGGATACAGTGACATGCATCAACCAAGTTAGTGAGCCTGATCACCCGAAGCCGTTAGTCGCCTCTTACGACTAGCATAGCCGCCTTTTACATCAAGCATGGGTTGCTGAAGACCTATTCTACCCCGGATCTTCACGGGTTCTGTCATATGCCAAGTGTCTGACAGGTCTGAATATCCCTATCTAAGGGTGAGTAGTATATATACTCACCGACAAAAGAAACACGAATACCATACATGTTGGTTAATATATGACTCATATTCAAGAGACATTAGATTGGTTTGATGCACAAACGAACATACTGGTATGTTGTGTGAACCGACGTCATGAACGCATCACATGTGACGTCAGAGATCCATGACTTGAGATGCACCATTTGTCTCATGCAGAATTAGCGTGTTAAGTTTGGAAATCACGTGAATATTGTGATAAAAATAAAGAATCTCTGTGGTAACACTTGACTGATTGTTTGTTTTGTCATTAAGTGGTACACATTTGAAACATCTCTTCTTTACTTACAGTCTCCTCTACATGTTTTTATGGTTCGTGTTTCTTTTGGCGGTGAGTATATATACACTACTCAACTGTGATGGAGATATTCCTTTCAGGTTCAGATAAGTAGAAGGCTGGACAAGTGGACACTGCTGCCAGGGTTTTACCTGGGTTAATTATTTTGTGGATCTAGGGGACTTAAATTGTAGGGTCTCAGTTTAGAAAATGAGGCTCCTAAGCTTGAAAATGGGGTCTTACAGAAATGTCAAATATTGAATACAGTACTCTAATTGATTGGTTGTTTTACGCCACACTCAGCAATATCCCAGCTATATGATTGTGGTCTGTAAATAATTGAGTCTGGACCAGACAATCCAGTGATTGATATCATGAGCATCGATCCATGCAATTGGGATTTCAACCAAGTCAGTGAGCCTGACCACCCGATCCCGTTAGTCGCCTCTTACGACAAGCATAGTCGCCTCTGTGACATAAGGTTATGTCAGAGGTTGTAAGTTAAACATGGACATTGAGTTCGCCCACAGAAACGAATCTACAAGTACTTATACTAGAAGCTCGTGAAGCATTTGGCTGTGTACTGTTCTTTTTAAATGATAATGTACAGAAAATAATTGCAAGTTTGACCAAATTATGAAAAAGCAGCTTTCATTTCAAACATGTAACTTTTTAGGATCTGTTTAAGTTTTTATAGAGAAAGATGCAGGATTTCACGTCCAGTAACTCCCTGCTTGACGCTTGACTGTACAAAATATAATATCCCAATTATTGATATTTGTTTCATCTCCTTTTGATGACAAAGATTAGTTCCAACTAATTATTCAACATACCCAGCTGTGAGAGCTTTCCTTTGCATTTGTTGATGTCTTCAAATCTTTGTTTAATTAAGCGGCCATGAATTTCATCTGTGAACTTTTCAATGTCTTTAGAAATTGGCTGAAAACCCTGGAGGACAAAAAGATGGTAAAATTTGAGTGAGGGAGTGAGTGAGTGAGTGAGTAAGTGAGTGAGTGAGTGAGTGAGTGAGTGAGTGAGTGAGTGAGTGAGTGAATATGGCTTTACACCGCCTTTAGCAATATTCAAGCAATATCACGGCGGGGGACACCAGAAATGGGCTTCACGCATTGTACCCATGCCGGAAATCGAACCCGGGTCTTCCACGTGATGAGCAAAGGCTTTAACCACTAGGCTACCCGATTGCCCCAAACACTGGTGAGTAAGACATAAAAACTGAATCAGCTGATCAGGATTCAACATATCCCCATGCTCAGTAAATTGAGTAAGTCAGGGCATTAGAGTGCGTGGGTGGGTATATTCATTATACGAAACGTATTCGCAAACCAGGATTTGAACCCACAATCGTAGTTTTCTGGTGTGCCCAAGGGACGCAACTCTCGGCACCTTAGACGACTGGGCCACCCGTGCCCCCGTGAAGTATGTAATGGTGTAGTGTACTGTGTGTTTAGATAACTACTTTTGAGCAACATGAATACATAAGTCATGTGAACAGTGGCCATGATCAATGGATGAAATAACAGACACCCACAACTGCTCTTGATGTGCTGTAGGTACAATGAATATCATTATGCATCCCTTGGAACGCAGTATATTTTTTTTTTGCATCCATTCTCTACATTTGTGCATCACATAAATCCCTGGAACCCACAATCACTGGTGTCTGGTGTGCCCAAGGGATGCAACGTCTGCACAGTGTATTGCGGTGCCTCAGACAACTGTCCTAGACATAAGCAAGTGATACAGGACAACGTGGTGAACAGTCCAGGAAAATACCCTACCTCTTCTTCCTCATCAATTGTGTTTCGCAGAAGGTTATCCAAGACCAGAAACAAAAATCTGAAACAAAACATAATGCTCACTTTTATGTTCATTTAGCATCCATTTAGCATACGAACCGTGAAGAATAGAATAGGTCTTCAGCAACCCATGCTTTGCCGTAAAAGGTGACTATGCTTGTCGTAAAAGGCGACAAACGGGATCCGGTGGTCAGACTCGCTGAATTGGTTGATGCATGTCATCGATCTCTATTGCGTGGATCGATGCACCTGATATCAATCACTGGATTGTCTGGTCCAGACTCGGATTATTTACAGACCGCCGTCATATAGCTGGAATATTGCTGAGTGCGCCGTTAAACAACAAACAAACAAAATCATTTAGTATCCATATACTACTTGATGTATTCCATGAAGTCTTGCCCACTTTCACTGCAGGAATATGACCACCCCAAGGCAGTGGGATGTTTTCTACACAGCTGCAGTTTTTGAATTATAATAACATATGAATACACAATGCCATTTAGAGTGTGGTCAAATGTAACAAATGTTATATTTGTGGAACCCTCGGTTGCTAAGCGGGTTGGTTAGATTGCTGAGTTTGTGTGCTGACGATCTGGTGCCACACTCTGGCAGTGTGAGTTTTACCGGTACTCAGAAAGTGTTGCCCCCAAAATAACATTTGCTGACTATGAGATGTTTTAAAGTAACCAATTATATTGAATACTCATGTAACCTTTGAAATTCTGTTTTGAAGACTAGCCCAAAGGACTACAGGGCTACAACTTACCATATATTACACCTACCATATTCAACGTAATAAGCGCCCCACTCTAATAAGCGCCCAAGGCGATATTTGCTAATATATTGGCTAGTGAACAATTCCAATTAGCAACCTTCCGATTGATCAATGTACACAAGACTTATTTATTCGCCTATAATAGGCACTCGTGTGTTATATGCACCTTAAATATGGGCAATTAAATTCTGGAAAAATATATCTGTCGTTTTTAAACATTTCAGGCTGTCAGCATAAACATTTCTTTCAACTCACCAAAATAATATTCTAATAAGAGGCCCCATATTTCTAATTTTGAGAGCGCCCTGGGCGCTTATTACGTCGAATACGGTAGTACAAATTCCTGAGTGCTTGTATAAATTTTTCAATTTCCTCATTGTCTTAACATTACAAGGGCATTTTATCTTTATACCCATGCCAGAAAAACATTTGAATTTAACACTTGACTAGCTTCAAACCTATTTCATTCATCCTCAGAGTTTGCAGCTGGTCGTGCGAGACTGACTTGTAGTAAAACAAGTATTTGTCACAGAGTGACGAAATATCCCCCGCCATATACACCATAGTACCAAATATGAAGACAATCCAGCGATTAGTTCTTGAGATATTGTGGCAACACCGTTTTCCAACTCCAAAAACAGATTTGCCTGCTGTGACCTTGAAAATGGGGTCAAGGTCACCAAATCTGACAGGTGTATGCGGTGTCTGTATATACACTATAGTTCCAAATATGAAGACAATCCAGCGATTAGTTCTTGAGATATCGCGGCAACACCGTTTTCTAACTCCAAAAGCAGATTTGCCTGCTGTGGCCTTGAAAATGGGGTCAAGGTCACCAAAACCGACTGATGTCTGCGGTGTCTGTATATACACCATAGTTCCAAATATGAAGACAATCGAGAGGTTTAGTTCTTGAGATATCGCGGCAACACCGTTTTCCAACTCTAAAAGCAGATTTACCTGCTGTGACCTTGAAAATGGGATCAAGGTCACCAAAACCGACTGGTGTCTGCGGAGTCTGTATATACACTATAGTTCCAAATATGAAGACAATCCAGCGATTAGTTCTTGAGATATCGCGGCAACACCGTTTTCCAACTCCAAAAGCAGATTTGCCTGCTGTGACCTTGAAAATGGGGTCAAGGTCACCAAAACCGACTGGTGTCTGCGGTGTCTGTATATACACCATAGTTCCAAATATGAAGACAATCCAGTGTTTAGTTCTTGAGATATCGCGGCAACACCGTTTTCCAACTCTAAAAGCAGATTTGTCTGCTGTGACCTTGAAAATGGGATCAAGGTCACCAAAACCCACTGGTGTCTGCGGAGTCTGTATATACACCATAGTTCCAAATATGAAGACAATCCAGTGTTTAGTTCTTGAGATATCGCGGCAACAAACAGGTGGGACGTACGGACGGACGTACGGACGGACGTACGGACGGTCGTGAATACTATATCCCCCGCTTCGCGCTTTCGCACGGCGGGGGATAATCAAAGCATCGAGAACTGGTAAAGTTATAAAAAACAAAGAATTATAACCGTAAAATGTTACTAGTCATTGTAGACTACCATTGTTAAATTATTAATTATCCTCATAAACATTTAGTAGTCTCTTGCTAGCAGGATTCTTGAAGGAATGTCAAGAAGCATCTGATATAACAAAAAATTTGTTTGAAAACATTCTTGTCTAAATCAGTGTAATACTGTAAATCTTGAAATTATCACGAGCCCTAATTAAATGCGTCAAGAGTTCTACCCACTTGTGTCAAACTAGGCATCATTGACCACTCCAATCAGTGAACTGTTGTTGGGTTGGGGGGAGTCGCATTGATTTTGAGTCACATCTTTTTTTTTTGCATCAGCAGTCGTATTAATTTGGAGATGCATTAATTTCAAGATTTACGGTAAATGGTTGGGATTTGTTTCTTGAGTCGTGGGAATCCAATAAACGTTAAATCTCACCTGTAGATCTTGAGGGCCTTCATGGGCTGGTCGTTGAGGTCGGTGATGTTGAGGCGATGCTCCTTCAGGAGGTCCTGGGGGTCGACCTCACAACATATACTCTGTCTGTAGGCTTCAAACACATCTCCGGCCCTACATAACGACCCTGCAACACAGTCAACATTGTGAGTAGGACCAGTACCTGACGGCAGTGTATTGTTAACTTCCTTGTCCTAATTTCAGCAACATCACAGTAAGGGACACCAGGACCCACTTGCACAAAGAGATCTTATTACTACGACTACTGTAAGCCTATGTTAAAGTATGGGAGTTACGATCATCTTACGCTAAGATCACTTTGTGCAAGTGGGCCCTGAAATGGGCTTCACATATTACATGTATACCCACGAGGGGAAATGAACCCAGGTCTTTGGTGTGACAAGTGAACGCTTCATCCACTAGGCTACCCGACCGTCCTGATCGGCATGAACACCAGGTCAAGTGAAACAGGGAAACAAATAAATGTATGTTCCATGTGAAGTTGTGGTTTAGGACCCTGGTGAAGCAGCCCTGGATTTGTCTGGGGTTCCTTCAGAATGGCAGTGTGCAAGTAGTCAAGTGTTGAGCAGAGTAGACACCATACCTGCATACTCATGGATGATTTCCTTCTCTTCCACATGAATGACTTGAAGCTGAAACAAAACATAGAATAAGGCATCAATGTTTAAAGGTGTGTATGCGCCGGTGCGTCCGTGCGTGAGTGAGTGTGTGCGTTGTCTAATGCGATTGTGAGCAACATTCCACACGGTTGGGGTACAATGACACACTATCAACAAAGTCACATAGTCGGAACATCCAGTCCATTAAGTTGCCTCTTACAACCAGCAAAGATTGCTAGGGACCATTCTAGCCATGGTTGTTTGCTTTCAGACAATACAGGAAATTTGATTAACTGAAATTGAACACCTTTTCATTTTGTCAGAATTGTATAGCCCTGTAAGTTCAAACTTCATGCACTCAGTGTATTGTGTAAGCCAATGTCATCAGCATATAATCTGAACGTGGCACTGGACTTTGTCCTGAGAAGGTTTCCCTCACGTTGAGTCAGCTTACCTTTACTGGTTCTCTCATTTCTAGATGGCAGAACCTGGATGATGGTCTGAAATCAGATCCAGAACCATTAAGGTACTTGAAGACCATGGTAGCATTTCTATTGTCAACTGTACAAGACGTATATGACAGCACTGGAAGGTGGTTACAGGTGTCAATATCAGCTAGATATCAGCTGACTGTCTGTGATGAGATACTGGACAATCTGATTGTGAAGCTTGATTTATGATTTATGAACAGATATGGGTCATTCTCAAAAAATGTCAGAATTTCAACTAAGCAAAAACATCAAAATTGTCTTTTGTAAAATTCCTTTTTTATTGACTCAGTACACAAAGTAACTTCTGAATAATAATGTTAAGCAAAATGACACCTTAATAATCAATGATGTCCTAATTATGATAATTAATTAACACTGAATAGGAAAAATATGTCTGTCCTGTTACCATGTTTACAATTATATTTTCTGTAACAATATTTTTCAAAGTTCAACACAAATCATGTCAGTTCTTGTTTTTAAATGTATTGTTTAATATTTCAATGAGTACAATTAAAAAGAGGTTGGATACATTATTTTATGGACAGATTTGTCCAGCATTTGAGTCAAATGAAAACATTTGAATTCATTCAAATCCAATATGACAAACATACCCTGATTATTGCATCATATATTTGACACATATGCTTCATTAGATGATATATGTTTGAATTCAAATATGTTCTTCTGAAAAATAAAAATAAATAATCAGTATATTTCTATTTTAAGTGCTGGTAACAGGACAGACAACGTAGTAACAGGACGGACAATTGAAAGTAACAGGACGGACAATCGGCTTTGATTGCAGATAACTATAACGTTCAGGAGTTTCAAGATTTTGAAATATCTGACAAATACGAAAAAAGTATGTGCAATTGATTACACCTGAACATATAAGGTGTAATTAACTGAATATTCTTGTATGTAATCTGAACTATAGAAACCGGTCGGTAACAGGACGGACAATTGAAAGTAACAGGACGGACAAACTTATGTTTGCAGTCAACTATCCTGTTCAGAAGTTCAAAGTTTTGAACTCTGACAAATAAGAAAATGTTTTGCTTAATTAACAGTATCTGATCATATGGATGTTATTAACTGAATGTTCTTCTATGTAATGTGAATGTAGGATAATGGTAGGTAACAGCACAGACGGAAGTAACGCCAAAGACAATAACTTTTGCATTTTGGGTTAATCCCTAGAATTACAAAGAATTTAAATTGATTTAAACTTACACTAAATAGTCATGTGACAGTTTTTGTCATGAAGCAACAACACAATAACCAACTTTATCCATGTCAAACATCAACATAATCTTGTCAGAAGATTTCCTGTTGAAGCTGTATTCTTTTGCAATTGTATTCGCAAATACTCAAATAAACGGTCTGAAAAGGTGAATTATAGTTTCCTTAAAAGTACAATTCACTTGTATCTATGATTATTTGATTAGTGCCAGAATTAAACGGTGTCTTTCATTCACCCATAAACCACAGGTTGTTTATTGTTTCTGTTTTATCATATCTGTAATAGCTTCCCAGTAAATGTTTTCAACACTGAAGTGGGAAGCAGTGCCTTCAATCTTCTTTCGTTCAGGAATGATGGTAATAATGTCCTCGTGCTTGTACCAGCATTTGTCAAGCAGGAGTCTTGGCCAAAAGAATCATTTTTGATCCCATTTTTTGCCAGGCTTGTGCATGCATTCCACATATATATCATAGGTAGAAGCATCTATGTATCCAGGATATGGCAAACCATCATATAACACAACCACACATTTTCCAAGACACTCTTCTGTATCATCTGGAACGGATAGTAAATGTCACTCTCACTTTTCTCAACCTCACCCTTCTCCACCACACCACCTGTCCTCTCCACCTTTTTCTCAACCTCACCCTTCTCCACCACACCACCTGTCCTCTCCACCTTTTTCTCAACCTCACCCTTCTCCACCACACCACCTGTCCTCTCCACCTTTTTCTCAACCTCACCCTTCTCCACCACACCACCTGTCCTCTCCACCTTTTTCTCAACCTCACCCTTCTCCACCACACCACCTGTCCTCTCCACCTTTTTCTCAACCTCACCCTTCTCCACCACACCACCTGTCCTCTCCACACTTTTCTCAACCTCACCCTTCTTCACCACACCACCTGTCCTCTCCACACTTTTCTCAACCTCACCCTTCTCCACCACACCATCTGTCCTCTCCACACTTTTCTCAACCTCACCCTTCTCCACCACACCATCTGTCCTCTCAACACTTTTCACAACCTCACCCTTTTCCACCACACCATCTGTCCTCTCCACACTTTTCTCAACCTCACCCTTCTCCACCACACCTTTCACAACCTCACCCTTCTCCACCACACCATCTGTCCTCTCCACACTTTTCACAACCTCACCCTTTTCCACCACACCATCTGTCCTCTCAACACTTTTCACAACCTCACCCTTTTCCACCACACCACCTGTCTTCTCCACCCTTCTGTTGTTTTTGCATCAGATAACTATCTTCAACAAAGTAGTCTATTTTTTTATGTATATATGTTTTCTTCTAAACTGTGATAAATTTGAAAACATATCTCTTAATGTTTCATAAAATTAGAATATTTAGTGATTGGATAAGAAACGTTAGATAAAGATGACCAAATGTCTGTGCTGTTACTTTTAAGTCTTAACCAATTTTTTTTTATTTAGCTTGGAAGATTTGTTCAGCCATAGCGTCTTGAATGCCTGTGTTATTACAAAAGAATTATTTGTGTTAATATGGTAATTATATTATTGATTGGTTATACTAGGAAAGACAGTTTAAGGTGATGATAAGTCTGTGCTGTTACCACGGAATGTCTGTGCTGTTACTTTTTCATCAGATAACTATCTTCAACAAAGTAGTCTATTTTTTATGTATATGTTTTCTTCTAAACTGTGATAAATTTGAAAACATATGTCTTAATGTTTTATAAAATTTGAATATTGAGTGATTGGACAAGAATAGTTAGATAAAGCTGACCAAATGTCTGTGCTGTTACCAATATTTGTCTCTGCTGTTACTTTTAAGTCTTGAGCAACTTGTTTTTATTCAGCTTGGAAGATTTGTACAACTTTAGCCTCTTGAATGTCTGTGTTATTTCAAAAGGAATTATTTGAGTTATTATGGTAATTATGTTATTGATTGGTTAAACAAGGAAAGACAGTTTAAGATGATGATAAGTCTGTGCTGTTACCACGGAATGTCTGTCCTGTTACATGTTTGAAGGTAACAGCACAGACAGTAACAGCATAGACAAATTGACATTAATTACAGTTTTTTTTAATGAGACCTCCCTTGAAATGTTGAGACCACATGACATTGTGAACAATTCATATTTTCTAATATTCTGAAAAAATGGTTTTAGAAAAAAATATTTGTTTTGGCAAAAATGAGCAGTAACAGCACAGACATAAGAAAAGAGTATTCATGATAGGAATAAACTTCCCTGTCAAGCAGAATTATCCAAGGTCTTCTCTCACTTGAAGGACACTGCTGCCATGATAGTACAGGAAGTAAGCTGTATTTCTGTTATTTTGAATTATTGGAATCTTGAAGGATTATTTATTTTTCAGTTTTGATCCATCCTGGTAACAGGACAGACACTTTTTTATGTACAAGTGTTTCTTACCAAAAACCAATATAAATAAAAGAGTGTATCTTCAAAAGATAAGTTTATATCATGAGTTAGAAAGGTAATGTACAATATATAAACATTATTTACATAATATTTTTTATTTTTAGCAACATTAAACAATGTTGATGTGCAAACATAGGGTTACGGACACACCCTTCAGCTCAATTGAACCGCAATTAAGCAGTTTTAATTAAAATAAAATACCTAATAAGAAATACTGAAACTTAACTTTCAGACACCATGGTATGTTCTACGAAAAACACTTGTGTTTAAACATATCTAAAATAAATATTTTAATTGTTATTCAACACGGACTAAAAAACTCACTTTTTTTGAGAATGACCCATATATGATATGATATTTGTAGAATTTTCCTATTCGGAATATTCTATAAGTAATACGTTACCACTGTTATACCGAGGCTGTTGTCTCCCACAACTGCTGCTATAGCGAAATCTACCACAGAGATCTCAATTACCTCATGCAGCACGTGCGTAGCCATCTAGTTGCCATGTGACACCCTTCACTCTTGTCTCCTGCGAGAGCAAGTGCTCGGGGGACGGACGGGCGGGCAGCAGCCCAGTGGTAACGTATTACTTAAAGAATATTCCGAATAGGAAAATTCTACAAATTACATTAAGTAATACGTTACCACTGTTATACCGAGGCTGACTACCACAGTAGGCGGTGGGGAGCACCTACAACCCGAATTCTGACTGCTAGCGTTCCTTCCGACCAGCGGAAGTAAACACCAAGGCGGAAGCACTCGATGCGCATGCACCTAGCTAGGCGTTACCCTATAGGAATACCAAAGCACTGTCAAGCGCATACCGTAAGGCTCAATCGTCATTGCCAAAACGATTGGTGACTCCAAACGGCCCCACTGGATAGGTATTTCATCGCCGCAGCGGATGAGAACACTGTATCCGCGTGAGCTAAATCTTAGATCAGGTTAAACAGTCGAAAGAGGGAAATTAATTTCATTCAGACCGTATATCCCAGAGCAAGCCTACTTAAAGTATGCATTAGGCGCGTGACCTAATTCCAGTATTCGTAAGCATGTATCACAAGGTTGGAATACACGACAGACAATTAAATGCATAATTGTCAAAATACAAATAAGGACAAAACACACAAAAAGCCGCCTCACCTGTGGTGTGAGTGCGCTGGTTTGCAGGACCCCCACTCCTGTACCCACGGCGTGGGAACATTGGAGGCGACCCAGATTGACCACCGTGCAAGGACTGACGACTGCGATCAGCACCCCCTCCACGTCTTCATCAGAAACCTTTCTGAGGTAATGATTGGCAAAAAACGAGTCAGAACGCCAGTAACAACCTCGTAAT